TACAAGATGACTCAATTTATGATGTTTTGTTTCAAAGGTTTAGAAGCAAAGAAGGTAGAATCCATTGGCCTTGAAGGCAGAGAGGTAGAATCCATTGCTTTTTGTTTGGGCTAAGGAGGTAGAGAAAGGGAAAATAAAACTAAGTAGAGGTTGGGGGATTCACCTAATCCTGGGACCTGAAAGAGTAAGTGCCCGGGGCACAGCCAAAGAGCTGCCAAAGGTGTACCCTTGGCCAATGACTCAGCCATCAGCCGGGGTGGGTGAAACTAACCCCAAGTGAGAGTGAAGCACAGAGGGACTTGAGAGAGGGCTCAGCAAGATTATGTCTCAAGACTCTTTCAGGATATTCTTAATTTTCAGAACATAAGCTCCAGAAGAGCAAGGATTTTATCCATTTCCCCACTGGTAAGCCATGTTCTCTTTAAAAGGGTGTCTAGTAAATATAAGCACTTAGTAAATACGCATTTAGTGATGATATGAAGTGTGTTAACAACACAAAGGATGAAAGTTCAAGAAAATGGGGGAAAATTAAGAGGTAAGGATAACCCCGAGGTTTCAAAAGTGGGAAAGTAGGAAAAAGCATTATTAATCATAAAAATTACTTGAGTCAAAAGCCTGGTTGGTATGAAGGTCTAAATACTTTGTTTTAACTTTGTTGACTCTACTTTGCATACAGTACTAAAGTACTTTGCATACAGTGGATGTGGTTGAACTGAATGCTCAGCTAATCATTGTACCTACAAGACTGAGATTTAAAAGTAATCAGAGCTAGAAATTGAGAAGTCACAGTCCTCAATAGGGTGGTGAGTGGGGAATCCCAACTGTCTATGTTGGGGGTGGGGAGTTTTGAACATTAAGGGACAGGCATGTTTTCTGAAGTCAATGAGCAGCAACTTGGTATTTAAATTTAATATCTTGGAACTTATTTCGATACTACTATAGGACTAGCTCATGGTTTTTATAGTGCCTACACAGACATTTATAGCCATTACTAATGGCTATTTAAGCCATTCCAGTGTCTCTACATTATAAGTAATATCTAAATGGTAATTCTTTTGCACAGCTTTGTATAACAGTGCAAGAATGTCTGTAACAGAAGTTTCATCAATAGAATTATGGAATGTTGCATCAAAATATATAAATGGTGAAAACTATAATTGCTTTTGCTACATAGTCTCCAGAACGATCTCATCAATTTGTATTCCCACCAACAGCATGGGAGTGTGCCTCTCTCTACACTGCTTTTTTTTTTTTTGCAAGTAAGTAAAAATTATACATAATGCATACATAACTTTGATTAGTGAAACAGACTTGTTTTCAAATACACTAGAATATAAACTCTGTGGGGTCAGGAATTTTTGTTTCCTTTACTGCTTAGAATAGTGCCTAGGGCCCTCCCTGATGGCTCAGCGGGTTAAAACACTGCACTAAGAAGCTGAAGCCACTTCAGCATGAGTTCGATCCCGCCTGCCCCGGAGGTGACCACATGGCGCGGCAGACCTCTCCTGGCTGGTCTGCTGCTCCCCTCAGTAGTGTACTTCGTCGATTTGCCTGTTCTGCTCCCCATTCTGTCTCTGGTGAATTCTCTCACTGCCTTTGTACCTCTGGCCTGCACCCCAGTTCTGTATGCACAAATAAATAAAATCTTAAAAAAAAAAAAAATAGTGCCTGGCACATACTATAAAGATTTGTTTAAGTTGATGCTTTAACAAACTTCTTCTCTTCAGAGAGTTGTCTGTCCTTATTGTTTGTCTATTTTCTATTAAGTTCTCTTTTCTTTTTCCTAAGAGTTGTTTTCCTAAGGCGATAGTTTTCCTAAGAAGAAAACTATCCATTTGTACTGTGTTACTCTTTCTTACATTCCCTGTTGGCTGGAGGCCAAACTGTCTTCTAAGGAGGAAAGTTAAAAAAACCTTAATTAGGGTTTTGAAATTCAAACCCAAAACAACCTTGCAAGTTTGATAGTAAACACCAATTTGCCCTCTAAGGAGGAAGTACCCCTTAACACTTCCTTGAATGGTTCCTTGACACCTTCCACAAAACTCATCAATCTACTGTTTCTGCCAATTTGCTTTCTCATTATTGTTTACACTGTCTTTAACAGTATTATTATAAAAAGGTATTCCAGTCATTGCACATGTTTGTGGGCTTTGTATTTCTTTTGTGAGTTGCTGGTTCATGGTTTGTGTTCTATTTTAAAATAGGTTGTTCTTTTTCTTACTGATTTATTGAAATCCTTTTTATATTTTGGGTATTAACCCTTTTCATAATATGCTGTAATTCTTTTCTGTTGGTTATTTTAATTATGGCTTTCACCATATAAATGTTTCACATATTCTAATGCTTAGGGTATGTTACCTCCCCCCGCCCCCCCATTCCTGCCTTCTACACACCCTCCCCCTTCCTGGAAAGTGTATGCAGAATTTGAGACTGGACTATTTAGATCTCTAAGTTCCTAGAAGAGTAGAGCCTAGACTAATAGACTAGCATAATATGGGAACACAGTCAATTATGATATGACAAGTAATCTTTCTGGTAGACTCGAATTCCTTTTTCTTGCACTCACGACACTGGGGAAATCACCACAATGGTTACTCACATATATCAACATACAGTCCTACTTTGAACAACATACAATCCTACTTTGAAATGAAGATGCTTTAGAAGTTATGCCTCTGTTTGAAAGAACTAAACTATCTTTTGCTTTTGACAAGTTTCCCCACACTGTAGTGAGAATCTAGCTCTAAGTTAGGGTTTAGACTGCCTAGGTACACTGGCTTATTCTTTTGGAGATGCACATGTTCGTTGAACAATGTGCATATAGGAGATAAAACCCCAGGAAGACAGCAGGAAGATGAGGCTAGCAGGATATTCACATAGAGTTGGAGGAAAGTTTGTATGGAAAAAGAAAGAGCTTGATCAAGCTCAGTCTTGAACAATGCAACCCTTGAGAAATGTAAAGAAAGCTATTAACTTATAAGGGGATAGTATAAGAAACTAGCCCCTGGTCACTTTATATGCATCTCTAGTTCTGTGGTTCAACCAGTATGAGCTGAATGTGACTGTCCTGATGAGATAAGAACCCTATGGATATATTTCTTCTGCAAGTAATAGCTGCTCTTACTAAGACCAAGAGAGTCTGTGGTTGAGACAAGTAGGGTGTGGGAATTTGGAAGGCAGTTTCTGCAGTGGGGGGTGCGAAAAAGACATATTTCCTTTCAGCTGACTCTACACTATGAGTCTACAGGTGCCAAATGGCACTCCAGGTTGGAGTGGAGAATCTAGCTTTTACCTGCCTCTAAGTATACAAAGGCCACATCCCATAAAATAGTATTGCTCTAATTCAAAGAAAAGGTACCATCCACTACAGAAAAACAAACGTAGCCAGCTTTATATGTATTGGGCCTAAGTACAATTTTGTGGGCCTTTGAGAGATGCTGCATGTTCCAAAAGCCTACTCCTATTGGCCTGTCTCCTCACAACTTACTGGAATAAGGCTGAATTAAATAAATTTGTATTGTGAAAACATCTTTTTCAAAACAACTAGGAAGACACATTCCAGTGATGGCTAAAATCCTACAATTGCATCACTCCACTTTATTCTTATTACCTTCCATAGGAGTCACAGAGTTTACATGGTTGCAATTAGGTACCCATGTAATAATGTATCCCGCATTAAAAAAAAAATCAATGTTACACAGATCAAAAGCACCTGTCCAGATAATTACATAATGGGTTTTGGGGAAAGAAAACTGATTTTGTTCTCAGACACCTTCCTTTGAATCACATTTCCAAAATAAGTGGTGGTTGACATTGGTATGTTACTTACCTCTGAACTCTTATTTCTAGCATGAGGTTATTCTTGCTTGCAAAATGGGTGAGAGGGACAGATAGGATGTGTGCAATGCAGCTGACTCCTGGTGAGCAATGATTAGGGGTTAATAGTCTTCCTGAATTGATGATTTTTGTGATAGTCACAGTGCCAAGCATTTTTTATACCATCTTCAATTTTAACCTTCCTTGTAATCCCTTAAAAGAGACTGCATTGTGTCACTTTACAAAGAACACAAGTGTGCCCAGGTGAAGTCATGTGCTCAAGATCACAAAGGAAGCTGGTGGGGAAGTGGAATTCCAAGTAGGTTAGCGTGAACAGTGCCTTTGTGGCTGCTAATGACCAAGAAAGACAAAACAGAAAAATCACCCAAGAACAGAAGGCTTCTTTAGCATATGACTGTCAATCCAAAAATCTTAGGCCACATTGAATGCTGAAAATCATGAACATGAGAAGGATATTGAGGAACTCAGAAAAAAACTAAAAAAGCAAGGTAAGTTGAAGAAAAAAATGGTCCAGATGGACAATTCCCTAAATATCTTTAATCACTCTGTCTCAGAACCCACTTTAAAAATCACAAAATTCGGGTGGATTAAATCAAAAGCATTCTGTAGAAAGTGAAAGGGGTGGAATTTCCTGAACGCAGTAGCTTTTTTTTTTTTTTAAATCAGTAAAACTAGAAAAATAACAAGTGCTGCCTCCTAGAACTACTAAGATTCAGACACCCTTGATAAAGGACTTTGTTTCTGCGCGGATGTTGTGGCTTTGATACACCCAAGTCTGCAGCTCTTCTCTTTGGGTCATAGGATGGCATGTGATGATGCTCAGTGCTCAAAGACTGAATGTTGCTGGACAATGAACTATTTCACCAAAGCTGAAATTTAAAAAGCATTCAAAGCCATCCAAGTAGAAGGACATTATTAGTAAAAGTCCAAAGTATGAGAACAATATCAAGGGAGCGGAACTTTACAAAAAAAGAAAATGCACATCCCGCCTTCGTTCTTTCCCCTAGAGTAGCATCTCCTTCAAAAGATAAGAATCTCTGACACACTTGTCCTTGAAGGGCTGAGACTAGGAATTCTTGGGTTTTCTGTACCCCTCCCTTCCTGCTAGGCACCAAACCCGCCCCGCCTAGTGTCACCGAAGAGCCCTGTGCGCCAAGCAAGTGTTTACTTCCACTGTTCTCCCGTCCGGCTGGGAAACGGAGCACCCGGGCCGCCCCTCACACTCGCCCCAGCAGTTTCCCAAACATACCAGGACGGGATGGGAGTGTTTTCTTGGCTGCGGAACTCGATCCTCCTACGTTATCCTGAAGCCACTCGCCGCCTTTCCCTGACTCGTTCTTCGCGGTGATTTTCCCATCGGGACGCCCCGCGAGGGCGCGCGGCTGGCGTCCGCTCGGCCCGAAAGGTAGGAGCTGGGCTGCGCTCCTGCCTCGCCGCCCCGGGGACAGGAAGCCGCCCTGCCGCCCTCCGCATTGCACCTTCTCTGCGAACTTGGGGCGGCTGCCGCCACTGAGCAAGTGCCACCGCTGCGGAGCAGGAGGCGCTTCCCCGCCGCCCCGGAGGCGTTCGGCGCAGTCGGCTGGGATCCCGAGCCGGGCCGGCAGGCACCCAGTGCTCCCGAGGCCCGGGGACGCAACCGTGTCCGTGTCGCCCCTGACCGGCTCCGAAGCGCTCGGATTTCCGCCAGCCTTGGGTTCGGCTGCCTGATGCCGCCAGCGCCACGGGAGAGGTAGCGGCCGGCCGGAGCGAGCGGCGGCGGGCGGGCGGTGAGCAGCGGGCCCCCGGCCGCGGAGCTCGGCGCGCCTTCGGCGGTCTTTGCTGCCCGGCCTCTGCGGGTAACTTTCCGCTGCCTGGCGGCGGGCTCGCTTGTCCGGCTGAGGGAGGTGGTGTGTGCGCCGAGACCGAGCTCCCGCCAGGGGAGGGGACGCGGCGTGGCAGCCCAGACCCTGCGGTCTCTGCTCCCCGACTCTGATGCTGAGGGTCGGGTGGGGAGAGCGCTGACTGACCCTCCGCGCACCCTCTCTGCTCTCTGCCCGGGAAACTGCGTGCGCTCCGGCGCATTGAGTTTAGCGCCACCAGCCGCACCGGGCCCGGGTTCTAACCCCGAAAGCCCAGGGATAGGGATGGGGGCGAGGGCCGGGCGCGGGGACCCCAGAGGTGTGTGTCTGGGACCTTCTTTTCTCTAATCGCCGGGAACCTGGGGCGCTCCGCAGGCCCACGGAGGCGCCGGGCTCCACCCTCGCTATTGTTTTCTTGCAAAAGGGTCTGTAGGCGCGGAAGGGCGAGGGGTCTAGAAGGTTTTAGTCGTTGGACTTAGAAAAATACCCGAGAAACCCTTCTTCCCGCCACGGTAGAACTAGACCTAACAAACAAGTGCCGAGGCTGTTGGGACAAGGGACGGCCGTGAGAAAACCTGCAGTTTGGGATGCCGTTAGTTTTTAGCATAGGCAAAAACTTGTTATTTTAAGGCCACTTTCTCTGCAACAGCCAGGCGATCTCAGATCCTGTCTTGTGTGTGTGTGTGTATATGTGTGTGTTTTGCTTGAAAGTATATTTATAAAAAGCGATCTCCAGGCCCTCCCTGGTGGCACAGCGGGTTAAAGCACAGCACTGAGAAGCTAAAGCCACTTCCGCATGAGTTCGATCCCCGCCTGCCCTGGAGGTGACCACGTGGCGTGGTAGACCTCTCCTGACCTTCCCACTGCTCCCCTCAGCAGTGTACTTCGTTGATCTGCTTGTTCTGCTCCCCACTCTGTCTCTGGTGAAGCCTCTCCCCGCCCCTGAGCCTCTGGCCTGTACCCCAGTTCTGTATGAACAAATAAAAATCTTAAAAAAAAAAAAAGCGATTTCCAGAAATTTAAAACCTAAAGCATTCCCCATCCCCCCCCCACCTTGGGATCTTTTGTGGAAGGGACTGAATTGGGGGGTTGGGAGTCACGTGTGCTATACTGGGAGCTCTGTGGCAGTACTGGGATTAGGTAGAAACTGGAGACCTACCAGAAGCTCCTCACCCTCTGTGCCCTACAGCCCCACGCCCAAGCTGATTTGAAGTTACCAATGTTTACCTCTACTTCCCTGGCCTTATGTAATTTTCCAGTTTTAAACTACTTGTCATTTACATGGAGGTGTTAAATATATGGGAAGAAGGGGTAGGGCTGCCAGGTTATTTCCTGGGTGAAAGCATGCTGATTTTGCATTTGTAAATTGTTTTATGTTGCTTCTTGTTCTTGGTGCCTACTACTGCATTTTGTACTAAGATCTGCAAAAGGTATCTTAGATTGTTATTTAGTTTGTTGTCTCTGAATAAAGCTAATTGCCTGGGAGACACTAAGTAATGGCAAATGTGTGTTGTAAGTTAGAGAGCTTTCCTAGAAACTCTACTACCTTGGTCTAGGCTTCCTTTTTAAAGAAAAACATTTATTCATTTATGCATTGGAGAATTGGGGTACAGGCCAGATGTGTGGGGGTGACAGACATCACCAGAGACAGAGTAGGGAGCAATACAGGCAGAACTACTGAAATAGCTGCTGAGGGGAGCATCTGGTGGGTCAGGAGAGGTCTGCCACACCATGTGGATCACCTCCCTGGTGGGGAATGGAATTCATGCTGCAGTGATTGCGGAGAGCTTCACAATGCTGTGCTTTATAGTCCACTGTGCCACAAGGGAGGGCCCTGATTTGGCTTCATAAGCAGTTCTTAATGGTTCACATGGAGCGAAGAAGTCTTCATTCCTTATCCTTTGGGGTTCCACTGGAACAATATTCCCTGGAGCAATACAGTTACAGACTGTTCCAAGTCTTCTAAAATAGTGCAATAAAATGAGACTGCCATTTTGACTATATTTCAGTAGATTTCCTGGAAATGTTCAATATGTTCTTACACTCTGAATGAATAAAAAATCTTTGAAGCTCAGAAAGGAATAGACATTGGCAGAAGAATGCCAATAAAATCCATACCATTAAAAACATCATTCTATCTTTTGTGAAAATTGGAATTCTCAAGCTTTCTCATCCCAGAATGAAGTGGCAGTTGTTCTTTTCTGTTGGAGATAATTCTGTGTTCCACACCATGTGGAAAATTATGGGATAGAGCATGGTAATGCCATGTTTCCCTTATTATTCTGGTAAGTTTCATCTGCTAGCATGTAAATACCACATGACACCTGTGGAAATTGTGATTTCACTCCAGGTTAGAGATAACATACATTATAGGCAGTGCTTATGAACGGGGTGAGGATAGCACAAACTTATATGTCCTCCTTTAAGCTCCCAAGTATGTTCATTTATACTGTTTGATTATGTATTCCCAACAACTCTATGAGACAGTACTTTTTAGCCCTATTTTATCATTTAAAATATGAGAGTGCCCATGGGACTTACCAAGAGTCCCATGAAGTTCTTCACAAGTTCTCTTTTTTGTGTATATTGTTTTTCTTTGTCTTGTACACATTCAATTAATAACTCAAGCCCTTAACTTTCGTATTTGTCCTAATGGATCCTCATCCTGGGCTTCTTGAACAGGTGGTCTGCATGCCTTGCCTTTCCTTCTTATAGCTTCAGCCTTTCACCCATTAAGTGTTGTCTCTTTTCTCCACATCTTTGACACACCACTTAGGTGTGCTGTATCTGGCCAGATCCAGGTTATGTTAGTGCTTGTCTGGGAGGGCTACATCCCTACCCCCACAAATGAAATTGACTTCATCCCCTGCCGATCCCCATTACAGGGGACACCATGCCACATTGGGATTTCCAAGTGAACCTTTGAGTTAAGTGTACTTGATTTAGAGGGGGATGTTAGTGTAGAGAATAGAAAGTGTGTATTGGCCATTGCAGTGTTTTGTAAGGGATTGTTTTATTCTTTCATACCAAGGCATCAGAGGCAGTTCCCTCACCTTAGCAGGATGGTGAGTCCCCAGCACTGAATCAACAGTTGAGCCTCAGACTTGGTCATATGATAGGGTGAAGATGAGATGAGTGAGGTTCTGAGTGCAGAGGTGAGTAAGAAGCAGTAAGAGCTTCCTCATGGTCACAGTTCTTTTATGTGGGGAGTTTTTTGTCATCTAGGGGGAATTCATAACCGTGACCTTCTGCATCTGATCTGGGGCTTTCCTCTTAATGTGCTGCTGGGAGAGAGGGGAAGGAAAGCACCAGCAGGAGATTTTCTTATAGACACTGAAAATCCTCTTTTCCCCTCTTAAATCTAAGACACAGTATGCGCATGATGTATTATTTGTTTAGTAACATGTACTAAACAGTACTTTTTTTAAAATTAATTTATTCATACAGAACTGGGGTACAGGCCAGAGATGTGGAGGGTGAGAGGATTCACCAGAGACAGAGTGGGGAGCAGAACAGGCAGATCGATGAAGTACACTGCTGAGGGGAGCAGCGGCAGGTCAGGAGAGGTCTGCCACGCCATGTGGATCTCCTCCGGGGCAGGCGGGGATCGAACTCATGCGGAAGTGGCATAAGCTTCTTAGTGCAGTGCTTTAACCTGCTGCGCCACCAGGGAGGGCCCCCAGAATACTTTTTTTGGTTGAGGAATTTTTCTCTGGTTGGGGATGGAAAGATCTGTAGGGGAAAAGGAGATTAACCCCTCCTGCTGATGAGGAGGTGGCCGGGAAACAGTGTCCTTCCCGGGCAGCGGTCTTGCTCTTCTCTTCGACAGGTGGTAGAAGTAGTCTTGTACGTTGGCATAGATGGGGGTTGTGCTCACTGTAGTTGGGGGTGACAGCAGAGCAGAAATCTTGTTATGGATCTTGAGCAGCTTTCTGCATGGTTATCCATAGGTCGGACTTGAGACTTTACCAATATTTACTGAGTAACCACCATGTAACAGGATATGTTCTAGGTGCTGGGGGTGAAGGCAGGAAACCTTACTCAGAGTTCAATGAAACAAACAAAGCTTGTGCTTTATGCAGCTTATGTTTGTATGCCATATAGAGCAATACATACGGAACAAATGAATGAAATCTTTCTGACAGAATGAGTATTACAAAAAGAAAACAACTTGAGGTGTGCTAGAGAGATGAAGAAAGCTACTCTAAAGCCCCAGTTCTTGTATGCATAAGTAAATAAATCTTTTATAAAAAATAAAGCAATCAGAGTTTGTCTGGGGAGTCTGAATGTGGATGTAAATGATAAGCAGCAGCCAGTCCCAGCATTGTAGGCAAAGGGAACAGCTGCTACAAAGACCCTGAGTCAAGGATGTTTAAGCTGGTTGGAGAACTTACAGATGAGTAATGCAACAGAGGAGTGGGAGGAGAGAAATCAGCAAAGTAGGAGATAGCTTGTATGAAGCCTTTAGTTCTTAGAATGGAGTTTGAGTTGTGTGCTAAGTAGAATGGGGCACTACCTGAGAATTTAATTCTTATTACAAAATCAACTATACTTAGAATTAGCCAGCAAAACTCAGTTCAGCTGACCCCAATTTTATTGGCACTATCCAAATCATCATAGGCAGGAGCCAGCAGAGCATAGGCTGTCTTCTCTCCAACATATCTAATTAGGTGGCCTTGGCCACCTCACGGTCATGGAATTTCTTCATGGCCTATTAGATCTGGTACTTGTTGACATTCACTATGAACACACTTTGTTGTTGCCTTCAGTCTTCTTCATGGCTGACTCAGTGGTCAGGAGAAACTGGATGATGTGTAGTTGTTGAGCTAGGAGCTGGAGCGCTCTTCCAAAGGTATTTGTGTTACTTTCTTGGTTGCTGTGACTTGGGTCTCTGAAAGGTGGGTGACATGAGGATCTTCTTTTTCTTG